TGGAACTTGAGAGTCAGGAGGACGAGTCATCTCTACAATAAAGTCAGCAAAGGCTTGCCCCTTCACTGCTTTTCTAGGCTCGAAAGTAACTTCGAGACTCTGCATTTCTATGGCCCATTTGATCATTCGTCCGGAGGACTCCATGGTGGTAAGGGGCCGTTTGATCGGTTGGTCGGTATACACGACGACTGCATGTGCCAGAAAGTAGGGCTTCAATTTTTTAACAGCCATGAAGAGTGCAAGACCAAATTTCTCCACTAGGGGATACCTCAACTCGGCATTTTTCAGTACGTGACTGACAAAGTAGACCGGAAGTTGACAGCCGTCCCTTTCAGCAAGGAGCACCGCGCTTAACGCATGATCAGAGACGGCCAGGTACATGTAGAGATTTTCCTTGGGCAAAGGGCTGACCAGCCTTGGCAAGGAATGCAAGTGAACCTTTAATTTCTGGAAGGCGGCCTCAGCATCCGGCCCCCATTCAAACCTTGCCTTTTTCTTAATTGCCTGGAAAAAGTATAGGCATTTGTCGCCTGATCGGCTTAGAAATCTTCCCAAGGCCGCCAGACAACCTGTTAACTTCTGAACCTCTCGGACGGTACGAGGCGACTGCATGTCAACGACCGCCTGTACCTCCTCAGGGTTCGCCTCTATTCCTCTCTGGTTGATAAGGAATCCGAGAAATTTCCCAGACTCAACTCCAAATACACATTTCTTGGGATTGAGCATGACATGGTGCCGCCTGAGTGTGGCGAAAGTTTCTCGGAGGTCCGTCAGATGATCTTTCTGAAGTTTAGTCTTAACAATCATATCATCAATGTATGCCTCGACGTTTCTCCCAATCTGATCAAAGAACACTGTGTTTATCATTCGTTGGAATGTAGCCGGGGCATTCTTAAGACCAAACGGCATGACCGTATAACAGTATAATCCCTGATCAGTGACGAAGGCCGTCTTCTCCTGATCTTTCTTCCACAAAGGAATTTGATGAAAACCAGAATAGGCGTCCATAAAACTCATCAAGGCATGGCCGGCTGTTGAGTCGACCAGGTTATCAATTTTGGGCAGAGGGTAACTGTCTTTGGGGCACGCCTTGTTCAAGTCTGTGTAGTCTACACACATTCGCCAGGTGCCATTCGGCTTTTTAACAAGTACCACATTTGCAACCCAATCTGGGAAGTAACATTGCCGAATGAACCCTGCATCAAGTAATTTTTTGACTTCGGCGGCGGCCGCCTGACCTCTTTCTTCACCATGGTTCCGCTTCTTTTGCCGTACCGGCTTCTTTTTCGGATCCACAGCGAGTTTGTGTACTGCCAGATCAGGACTAATGCCTGGCATTTCATGGACTTCAAATGCAAAGATGTCCTTGTATTCTTTCAACAGGTTGTGAAAGTCATCACCAAGGTTTCTCAGAGCAGTCGTCCCAACTTTGACTGTTCGGTCAGGGCGGGAGTCGTCTAATATCAGGTCCGTATGCTCACCAGCCGGCTGAGGGCGGAACTCATCCGGCCGGTCCTCTGCCAATGATTGCTATTTTCTTGCCTTTCTGGCGGACTCTGTCTGGGACGCCTTTCTTTTTCTGTCGCCTGTTTCTTGAACAGGCGCACTTTCCTTGACATGGTCAAGGTCTGTTTTTTCTCCACTTGACCCAGTGGCCTTAGCAGTGGGTTTGACATCCGAGAGATAGCACTCTCGGGCCATCCTCTGATCTCCCCTTAGGGAGCCGACTGTTCCATTGTCCCTTTCAAACTTAAGCAGCATAAGTGACGGGATTATAACAGCCTTGGCACTATTCAGGGTTGGGCGACCCAGAATCATGTTGTAGGCAGAGAGTTCCTCTACAACTAGGAATCGGACTACCATGTGTCGTCCTTCCCCTTTTTCGCCCAGGCGGACGGGTAGATCAACTCGTCCCAGTGGGTGGACGACTCCTCCTCCAAACCCTATTAAAGGGTGGGAGGCCGGATGTATGCAGTCCGTCTGATATTTCAGTTTTGACAGACATTTGCTGCTGATGAGATCTGAAGAGCTCCCAGTATCTATGAGGATTCGACCAACTCTCTGGTTGGCCACTTTACATTCAATAACGAGAGGGTCGTCATGCGGCCCCCTTATTCCTCCTAGATCCTCTTCAGTGATGACAATCTCAGGAAATGTATATTTGGACGGTCGTTCTTGGTGAACGGAATTTACATCTAACCGCCTTATATTATCTTTGTTGCCCCTAATAGTGGGGCCGCCTCCTGAGAAGCCGCCTGCAATGGTGTAGACGACTGCATCATCTGTATCGGAACTGTCGGCCTGTTGATTCTTTTTGGCCGACTGCTTTTTTGAGGAAGTATTCCCCGTAGATTTCTTGACATAAGTGTCAAGATCACCTTGATCAGCCAAGCGGTCTAGGTACCGCATGAGACTAATGCAGTCGTTGGTGTGATGACCAATGTCATCATGATAAGCACAGATTTTGTCTTGGTTCCGGTTGCTCGCAGAACCCTTCATGGGGAGCGGTTTCTCAATTGAGAGCCGTCCCTTTATTTCTTTTAGGATAAACTGGTTATCCTTGTTAAACACATACTTTGGGGAGTATGGTTTGAATTCCTTTTTCTTCTTGGCCGGCTGTTTAGAGGAATCAGCCGCCCAGACCCCTTTTCTTTTTTCATCTTTGTTGGACGACTGTTTCTGTCGTCCTTCTCTATTGTCGAACCTCTTCCCGTCCGATTGTTTCATTGTACACAGATCAGTCGCCTGTATATAGGCTTCTGCTTCAATCAAGGCCTCTTGAAGAGTCGCCACCCTTTTTCGAACTAAATCAAATTTGAAGGTAGACCCGTCTTTGAGACCTCTAAAAAAGTCAGTATAAGCTACCTCATCCGGTAACCCTTGAATCTGTATTCTCATCAGGTTGAACCGCCTGATGTAGGAACGAAGCCCCTCCTTTTCACCCTGCTGAATTGTTCCCAAATCAAGGGTCGTTTTCTTCGCAGGGATGTTCATTGCAAAGTTGGAGGCAAATAAGTAAGCAAGCGTCCTGAAACTGTTTACACAACCAGTCGGCAGGTTGCCGAACCATTGCTGTGCAATTCCCTTGAGAGTTGCTGGGAAACACTTGCACCAAGTGGGATCATCCAACCCTTGAAGGTACATCAGGTTGGTGAATGCCATCAGATGGTCTTCCGGGTTAGTAGTGCCATCATAGGCGCCTACTAAAACATTTTTTACTTTGGCCGGCTGAGCGGCTTCAGTAATTTCCTTGGAGAAGGCCGACGGCTGTTCACCAAGTCTAAGCAGCCGTAGCTGCCAGTCCATAGGTTGGACGTTTTTTGCTGCAGGTCCACCAAATGGAGGTGGCTGCATAAAATATTGTTGTTGCGGCACAAATGGCAAATTTGGTACCGCCTGCGCACTATGAAAGCCAGACTGACGGGAGGTGCCGCCTGACTGACTCTCATGGTACGACTGAGTTGGCCTCATCGAGGCATTTCGCAAACTGTCCTGAAAATTTGAAGTAGAAGCCGACTCTGATAATCGGTCACTCTTCTTCTGCTCTAGCAGGTGCCGAGCATCTGTGAACGTTTGCCTTGACCCGTCCGCCTGAATATGACGAACCGGTTTCCTATTTCCCGTAGGATAACGGAGTTTTGTGAAATCAAGAGCAGACGGCTCCCGCTTCTTAGATTTAGGATGGGGAGTCGCCTCTCGCCCTTGAACTGGCTTCCTCTTCAGTGAAGTGGAAGGTTTTTTGGCCGCCTGCTCTTTGACTGAAGCAGGCGGTTTTTTGTTGATCAACTCTTGGATCTCTCCCTTGAATCCCCTCATGAAGGTCATGAGTTCGTTCCTTGTGATGGGAGCAGACCCATCAGTCGGCTGTTGCCGAGCAAGCGGTGCGCCTGCTGGCTCGCTTCCTGTTTGAAGATACTCCCGTTCCCTTATATCAGTATGACGGGTACGGCGGGCCCTTAGGGTCCCGTCTGGAGCTGTATGAGTTTCAACTTCAAATTCACTTTCGGTATCATGGTCCGACTGAACTTGAGGGTCGTCTAGGGGACGCCTCTCTTCTGGGGTCGGTACAGACTTGGATGCCATCTCTGAAGTACTCTCCCCACAGACGGCGCCAAATGTTTCGGGGTTTTCTGATGTCCTGCGGGAGAGCTACAATTCCGAGACTGGAACCGGACGCCTGTACCTGCAAAATAACGGAGACTCCTTAGAGCTCCGCCTCCAACGGTCAAGTTAGTACCTGATTAAGGAGTAATTAATACAGAAATTAAAGTAATAAGATCTCTCTAGGTGAGAGTATTTAATGTAGGTAATCTGCTTTGCTAGCGAGATCAGCCGGTTATTAGTGTGTTCCGTAAATTATTCGGTCCCTTGATTAATGAGGATTAATCGAGTATTTATAGCCTTGGGAAGCGTGCAACTCTCTAGGTTTAAGGTAAACCTAGGGCCGATCGGGCTTCTAGACTGAAATGGGCCTTGATGGCCGGTTGTCCCATTTGGCATGGGTGGACACGTGGCGTGTCTTAAGTGGTCCGTGGAGGACGCGTGGCGGAACCTGGTTGGTCCACTTGTCAAACGGCGCTTGGTGGATAAAAATCCCCTAATCAAGAACAATAGCATATATAAAGAATATACACAACATTTAACTAATAGCCTGATAATATATATATATATATATATATATATATATATATATATATATATATATATATATATATAATATTCATTCCACATAAAGCATACAACTATGAACTAACTTAAACACACACACACACCACTTTCTTACGGTGAAGGCACTAACAACTTGTAAAAACAAATACAACATAATAAAAAGCAGGTAAAAGACTCTAATTATCATTAAAAATAAATAAATAAATAAAATAAAATAAAAATGCCAAAAATACTTATAGATATTTTTTGGATAAAAATTAGGAGGTATCGAATTTATGACATTTGGATATTGATAAAGAACTATTGATATACATGGAAATATAGATAGGCACCTGGTTTGCTTTGCGTCCCAAGCCCAATAAAAAATTGTCAGGTTTTATATGACGATGAAGAAAGCCTCTAGAATGCATAAATTCGACTCTGTTGATCTACAAAAAATATGGACAAGATCCTTACACAACAGACAATAAGAACATCATACAACGTAAAAGAAGAACATAATGCTAGGAACAATAACATCAAGCTAATTTATAGTCATAAGTCATGCACATACTAGTTGATCTGCAAGCATCAATACTGTTTTCAAAGAGAACTTCTGAGTGCAGTAATTGAAGAGATCTTCAAGCTAGGCTAAGCCCAAGAAGGTAAATCACCATGACATTGTAGTCACCCTCAACTCCAAACCACTTTAAATGAGGAACACCAGCTTTATTTAATAAAATAAATTAAATTATAAATCAGATACACATAGGGTATTTGAGACTAGTAATTTAACATATGAAATAATAAACTAGATAAACACAAAAAGAACTTACAACCTCCTTGAAGAAGCATGTACAATTTTGACTCATAGTGAAGTTGTGGATGTCTTGTTTTTATAGATTCCTGAAATTCACAATCACAATAAAGTCACTCATCAACTCAAACAAGTAAGTGAAAATTATAAAAGGATTATATTTTAAAACTATATGTAAAATCTAATAAAATTATAAAAAGTTGATATTTGAAAAGTAGATTTTGAGATGAACCTAATTAGATTCCACATGATTATATTTTTTCCTTACAGATAAATCACAAAAGATGGTCAAAGAAGCTTATGTGAATAGTGTAAAATTCCTTATGGTGCAATAAAAGAAAAACAGAGGAAGTATGTCAAGCTTAACCTAACTTTCTTCTACAAGTGAAAAGACATGTGTCAAGCTTAGCCTGACTTTTCCTCGTAGAAGATATATTTAAAAGATGCTAGGTAACTTGCGCAATTCATAGGATGCTGCTTTTTTGTAAAACTTGAACAACGAAAACACTCTTATATATGACTAATGCCCCCTAATTATATATGAACAACACGAAACAGTATAATTCTAACAAGAAATTGATAAAACAAATCCTAAAAGTAAGCAATTATATCATCCTAACATATATTGACATGAAAAAACATATAATTAATAAAGAACACATACCAACTTGACAGCAACTTCCTCTCCATTAGTTATATTGGTCCCTAATTTAATCAAAGAAACAATAGCATAAAGAATAATTACCATGACATAAAAAATTAAATAAATAAATAAATAAAAAAAGAAAACACGTACGCACACAATTCAATAAAGCTAAAATTCAATTAAGAACATACCCAAATGCGGCTCACCGAAAGAACCACTCCCAATTTTACGCCCCAATTTAAACTTTCTACCAACCACAAGATCCATCATATAATGGATAGCTGAATAACCAAGAAATACATTTGAGATTAATCAAACAACCAAAAAAACCTCAAATTCAAACCTTATTTTCCTCAAATTTCAACTACCATCTCTTTGGTGGAACAAAATACTAAAATCCACCGAAACTAATCAAATAAAAATCTCTTCATTTGTATTACCTCCATTGCTAATAATATTAAACTACAAAAAAATTCATCAAATCATTACCAATCCAACTACCTTTCGTAAAATTATGCAAATTTCAGATAATCAAAAACTCACATGGCAAAAAAAAAAAAAATTATCACTCAAATCACAACAAAAATTCTCATGGAAATAAAGAAAATATCCAAGCACCCTTAGCTTTGTAAAATTCATATACCCAAAAAAAAAACTATCAATTTAAGGAAACCCAAAAATCCAAAACTGAATTGGAATAAAGACTCAATAATTCTATCTCTTGAAAATGGGTTTGGTGAGAGGGAGGAAGATAAACAAAAAGAAACCACGACAAAAGAGAGAAATTAAGGGGAAGCATATATGTGACTTTTTTTTTTTTTTTTTTTTTTTTTTTTTGCAAATTAATTATTCATAATGATTATTATTTGGATTTGAATTTTGATTTTGTTGATTGTTTTTTTCTTGTGTTTTGCGTTCTAACTTATCATTTCTCTTTATCACCACCACCTTTTTAGGCATTGAATTTTATTTTTTTTTATTGTTTTATATTCAGAATTGTGAAAATTTTGGTGATTTTTTATTTGCTAATTAGGCATTTTTTCATGGGTGAAGGCATGTACTGGTGTAATTGACAAGAAAAGTAGAAAACTGTAAGCTAATTACCAATTCATTACAAGGCATTACGTATGAGAGATAAGGATTAAGGTTGAATATACGAAGTAAATAATATGAAAATGTTTTTTACACTCTTTTTGGGTTAATTTTGTATGATTAAAATTTAAAATCTATCTTTATTTTATTAGTCAAGGGGTGAGAAAATGGCACCTAGCCTACATATATAAAATGTCTAAAGTGTCTCTAATCATCTATACCATATATTAAAAAGCTTTTCAAACATTACATGTCACTCTCCAATTCTATTGTGGTTATCATTCCATATCAACATGTATTTCAAATCTACAGAAATACGGTTTATACAAGAGTTGAATGTACTCGATCTAAATCTCAAGGTTAATTATTGGAAGGTTAATCATTTATCCGTATTATATTATTGCAAAATGAAATAAAGACCTAAAATTATTAAAAGTAAGATTAAATCACGAATTTTATGCACAATCACATTTAATAACTCGACTCGTGATATGAACCCAAAAACTAGCTTAGTTTGGTATATAAATATAAAAGTATTAAATTTAAAAATCTTTCTTTCTTTCTTTAATTGTTTAGAATAAACGAACTTAAGAATCTTATAAACTACGTACAATTTTAAAGATTCTATTACATATGAATTGTACAAAATCCAAATTAAGCAATACTTTGTATTTTATAAGATGAAGTTTGAGACCTAATGTGTACAAGCCCGCAGTATTAATCAGACCAATACCTCAATGGTTCGTTTTTTCTTCTATGTATACAATATTTTGTTTGTGCAAATAAACTTCTAATCAAAAGACTTATTTATATAAATGATAACAAATGTCGTTCTTTGACAATATTAATATTCATCGCGTTTATATTTTCTTAAACTAATTTATCATTGGACCTGTACCTTATATTTACCCCATATTATTTATAACATTTTAAATTGATGCAAATATACTGTTCTTTGTTTCATCTACTTTCTAAAATATATCGCATGCATCGTGGACTTAGAGCTAACAAAATCAAATTCTTGATCAAGTTTTTGTTTTCTCCACCTTATTCCAATAAAGCTAGATAGGAACTTAAAATTAAAATATATAATAATGTATATTAAAAGGAAGTTGCCAGGTTTCTCACCCTGATAAACAATTCTAGTTTGTGAAGGGGTAAAGGTGTCATTTCTGGTATATAGTGAAGGGTGTTTGTGTAATTTACTTCTCACAGTTAGCTGATTGGTGTTTTTGTGTCTTCATTACCTTCATCTTCTTTGTTATTTTCAAGCCACTGCACTTCAATGGAGACTTTTTCTTCTTCCCCACCAACCTTCATCATCTTCATTTCCTTTTTCAAGTTGCTTCAATGGAGATTTCGCCAACCTCAACACCACCATTGCGGATCAAACGAAAACCCTAAGAAAAATGAAGAAATAAAGGTTATGGTCGGTTAACCCCAAAGGGTAGGTGTTTAATAATTGCTTGTGAGTTTTCCTTTCTCCATTGTATTCTCCATTAAAGTTGATCTTACCTTCTTCTTGAATAGTTAAATGTTTGTGAGTTTCAAGTCTATGAAGTAACATCGTTAAGTTGAGTTTCTTGACAATTGTACAAAAGCAATACAATGAGTATTTTATTATATAAGCACAACTAGCTATCAAGGCCATTACATAAATGCCATTTGATAAACATGGCTTGTTTATCAAAGTGATAAACTTGTATTTTCTCTATTAAAAGGCATTACTAAGCAAGTTTATGTGTTAGGTAATGTTCTCCTCATTCACTTAGTCTTTCATTTTATGTAAAATTTTTATATTTTCAAAATCTTAGATTGTACAAGATTTTAAAACCCTCGAAACAAATTGGGTTCTCTCTAGGTTTAACCCTTGAGAGGGTTTTTCTGGTTCCCTCAAGGGATTCTTCCTTGGGAGGGTTTTTCTAGCTTCCATTGCTAGGTTTTTTCTGTTATTTTGAAGGTTTTCCTTCATTTTTCTCCTCTTTCATCTCTTTTCTTCCTAGTCTTAGTTGTGATTCTTTGTAGGGGCTTCCACTGGCCTGGTATTCTTATCAGTGGTAAACCCAAAAAAAATTTAATTGCTTTCAGTAAATAGATCCCATATTGGAGATAATGGGTTTTTTTTTTAAATTCAAATAAGGACCAAGTTCCAGAAGAAAACAAAACAAGCAAATAAAAGCAAAAAACAGCTACTACGAAACTACAAAAATAAAAGACGACTACCTAAGGAGGGACAAAACGTGGAAAGGCCATGCTTCTAGTATCCTCCTCTAACACTCTACCAAGATCAATCGAAATATCATTATAAATAAGGAGACTAATGTCTTGGGTCACCCCACAATTGGCCAACCAATTCGCCACTCTATTGCCTTCACGATATATGTGTGCTATACGAACCATCCAATTATCCTTGTTGAGCATGTTAAGGCATTATTTAATGTAGTGCGCGCACTCGCCATCCCCTAATTCTCCTTTCTGAAAATATTGTACACATGCCAAGTTGTCTGGTGCACCTCTAGTTTCTTAATCTGAAGGTTCTGGGCTAGCTCCAAGCCTTGGGTAAGGGCTAAAATCTCAGCCTTGAAGGCAGTACAGCAACCAAAGTTTGCTGAAATGCCTGATATGAATTTGCCAGTATGATCTCTTATTGCTACCCCTTCTCCAGCAGGGCCTGGTCAGCCCTTAGCTGCACTATCATAATTTAGTGCATACCAACCACTAGGGGGAGCTTGCCAATTAAGGAAGATTGCCTTTTGACTACACTTCCTCCCCCTTTGTTCTCATCACTGCCATGCTAGATTCGAAGAGCTTCATTAAATCTGACTTGTAGGAAGGCACCAATGTCAATTGGTATTTCATTGTTGCAATTGAACACAATGAAGTTGCGCCAATGCTAGATCCACCAGAGAGTAACCCCAAAGCAGGTTTCCCATTCATCACCATCTTGCAATTTTTTGGTTAGCCATTCTTTCAGATTGCCTTGAACAAATTGATCCATGGATCTACCCCTCAAGGCCTTTCTCCAAATTATCTTCGCAGCTGGGCAGTCTTTGAGGATGTGCAAGGTACTTTCCTCCTGTGCTCCACATATAAAGCACTTAGGTTCATCAGTGAGGCTACGTTTGAATCAATTCAGATTGCCTAGGATGTGATCATGACAGACAATCCATAAAAAAGCTCTAACTCGTTGCTGTAAGGGAGCTTTCCAGATTGCATCCCAGTAGTCTTCATCAACTAAATTAGCATCATGGTGCATGATCCTCATTGCAGACTTGATTTTAAATTTGCCTCTTAAATCCTCTTTAAAGTATGCAAGATCTCCAATACTAGGATCCACTCTCACCTCGTGACTTTGGATGATTTTTAACGTAT